AAGAACATGTTGAACACAATAAGAAACATTTGTTGAACCTGGACAAAGAACATGTTGAACACAATATGAAACATGTTGAACCCAAGAAAGAACATGTTGAAACACAATAAGAAACATGTTGAACCCAAGAAAGAACATGTTGAACACAATAAGAAAACATGTTGAACCCAAGAAAAGAACATGTTGAACACAACACAAGAAACATGTTGAACCCATAAAGAACATGTTGAACACACAAGAAAAACATGTTGAACCCAAGAAAGAACATGTTGAACACAATAAGAAACATGTTGAACTCAAGAAAGAACATGTTGAACACAATAAGAAACATGTTGAACCCAAGAAAGAACATGTTGAACCCAATAAAGAACATGTTGAACACAATAAGAAACATGTTGAACCCAAGAAAGAACATGTTGAACACAATAAGAAACATGTTGAACCCAAGAAAGAACATGTTGAACCCAATAAAGAACACGTTGAAGACAATAAGAAACATGTTGAACCCAATAAGAAACATGTTGAACCCAATAAAGAACATGTTGAACACAATAAGAAACATGTTGAACCCAAGAAAGAACATGTTGAACCCAATAAAGAACATGTTGAAGACAATAAGAAACATGTTGAACCCAATAAAGAACATGTTGAACACAATAAGGAACATGTTGAACACAAGGAAAATGTTGAACGTAACAAGGAACATCTAGAATACAATAAGGAACATGTTGAACCTAATAAGGAACATTTAGAACACAATAAGGAACATCTAGACCCCAATAAGGAACATGCTGAACCCAATAAGAAACATGATGAACACAATAATAAGCATGTTGAACCTAATAAGGAACATGTTGAACACAATAAGGAACATGTTGAACACAATAAGGAACATGTTGAACACAAGGAAAATGTTGAACGTAACAAGGAACATCTAGAATACAATAAGGAACATGTTGAACACATTAAGGAACATGTTGAACCTAATAAGGAACATTTAGAACACAATAAGGAACATCTTAAACCTAATAAGGGACTTGTACCCAATATGGAACATGTTGAACACAATAAAGAACATGTTGAACCCAATAAGGAACATCTTAAACCTAATAAGGAACATGTACCCAATAAGGAACATGTTGAACACAATAAGGAACATGTTGAACACAATATGAAGCATGTTGAACACAATAAGAAACATGCTGAACAATAATAAGGAACATGTAGAACACAATAAGGAGCATGTTGAACACAATAAGAAGCATGGTGAAGCCAAAATGGGACATGTTGAGACAATAAGGAACATGTTGAACCCAATAAGGAACATGTTGAACACAATAAGAAGCATGTTGAACACAATAAGAAGCATGTTGAACCCAATAAGGAACATGTTGAACACAATAAGGAAGATGTTGAACACAATAAGGAACTTGAACACAATAAGAAACATGTTGAACACAATAAGGGACTTGTTGAACACAATAAGAAACATTTTGAACCCGATAAGGAACATGTTGAACACAATAAGAAACATGTTGAACACAATAAGAACCATGTTGAACAAAAATACAGAACATCTACAACCCAATAAGGAACATCTAGAACACAATAAGGAACATGTTGAACACAATAAGAAACATGTTGATCACAATAAGGAACACGTTGAACACAATAAGGAACATGTAGAACACAATAAGGAATATTTAGAAAACAATAAGGAACATCTTGAACACAATAAGAAACATGTTGAGCCCAATAAGAAACATGGTGAACCTAAAAAGAAACATGTTGAACCCAAGAAAGATCATGTAGAACACAGTAAGGAGCATGTTGAACACAATAAGAAGCATGGTGAAGCCAAGAAGGAACATCTAGAACCCAGAAAGAAACATGGTGAACCTAATAAGGAACATCTTGAACCCAAGAAGGAACATATTGAACACAATAAGAAACATGTTGAACCCAATAAAGAACATGTTGAACACAATAAGAAACATTTTGAACACAATAAGGGACATGTTGAACCCAATAAGGAACATGTTGAACACAATAAGAAACATTTTGAACCCAATAAGGAACATGTTGAACACAATAAAAAACATGTTGAACACAATAAGAAACATGTTGAACCCAATAAGGAACATGTTGAACCGAATAAGGAACATGTTGAACACAATAAGGAACATGTTGAACACAATAAGAAGCATGTTGAACCCAATAAGGAACATGTTGAACCCAATAAGGAACATGTTGAACCCAATAAGGAACATGTTGAACACAATAAGGAACATGTTGAACACAATAAGGTACATGTTGAACACAATAAGAAACATGTTGAACCCAATAAGGAACATGTTGAACACAATAAGGAACATGTTGAACACAATAAGGAACATGTTGAACACAATAAGAAGCATGTTGAACCCAATAAGGAACATGTTGAACCCAATAAGGAACATGTTGAACCCAATAAAGAACATGTTGAACACAATAAGAAACATGTTGAACCCAATAAAGAACATGTTGAACACAATATGAAACATGTTGAACCCAATAAAGAACATGTTGAACAAACAAAGAACATATTGAACACAATAAGAAACATGTTGAACACAATAAGAAACATGTTGAACCCAAGAAAGAACATGTTGAACACAATAAGGAACATAGAACACAATAAGAAACATGTTGAACCCAAGAAAGAACATGTTGAACACAATAAGAAACATGTTGAACACAATAAGAAACATGTTGAACCCAAGAAAGAACATGTTGAACACAATAAGGAACATGCTGAACCCAATAAAGAACATGTTGAACATAATAAAGAACATGTTGAACACAATAAAGAACATGTTGAACACAATAAGAAACATGTTGAACCCAAGAAAGAACATGTTGAACACAATAAAGAACATGTTGAACCCAATAAGGAACATGTTGAACACAATAAGAAACATGTTGAACCCAATAAAGAACATGTTGAACACAATATGAAACATGTTGAACCCAAGAAAGAACATGTTGAACACAATATGAAGCATGTTGAACCCAAGAAAGAACATGTTGAACACAATAAGGAACATGTTGAACCCAATAAAGAACATGTTGAACACAATAAGAAACATGTTGAACCCAATAAAGAACATGTTGAACACAATAAGAAACATGTTGAACCCAAGAAACGACCTGTTGAACACAATAAGAAACATGTTGAACCCAATAAAGAACATGTTGAACACAATAAGAAACATGTTGAACCCAATAAAGAACATGTTGAACACAATAAGAAACATGTTGAACACAACAAGGAACATGTAGAACACAATAAGGAACATGTTGAACACAATAAGGAACATGTTGAACCCAAGAAAGAACATGTTGAACACAATAATAAACATGTTGAACCCAATAAAGAACATGTTGAACACAATAAGAAGCATGTTGAACCCAATAAAGATCATGTTGAACACAATATGAAACATGTTGAACCCAAGAAAGAACATGTTGAACACAATATGAAACATGTTGAACCCAAGAAAGAACATGTTGAACACAATAAGAAACATGTTGAACCCAATAAAGAACATGTTGAACACAATAAGAAACATGTTGAACCCAAGAAAGAACATGTTGAACACAATAAGAAACATGTTGAACCCAATAAAGAACATGTTGAACACAATAAGAAACATGTTGAACCCAATAAAGAACATGTTGAACCCAATAAGGAACATGTTGAACACAATAAGAAACATGTTGAACACAATAAGAAACATGTTGAACACAACACGGAACATGTAGAACACAATAAGGAACATGTTGAACACAATAAGGAACATGTTGAACCCAAGAAAGAACATGATGAACACAATAATAAACATGTTGAACCCAATAAAGAACATGTTGAACACAATAAGAAACATGTTGAACATAATAAGAAACATGTTGAACAAAATAAAGTACATCTAGAACCCAATAAGGAACATCTAGAACATAATAAGGAACATGTTGAACACAATAAGAAACATGTTGAACATAATAAGAAACATGTTGAACAAAATAAGGATTATCTAGATTACAATAAGGAACATCTAGATCACAATAAAGAACATGTTGAATACAATAAGGAACATGTAGAACACAATAAGAAACATGTTGAACTCAATAAGAAACATGTTGAACACAATAAGAAATATGTTGATCACAATAAGGAACATGTTGAACACAATAAGGAACATGTAGAACACAATAAGGAACATTTAGAGCAGAATAAGGAACATCTTGAACACAATAAGGAACATGTTGAACACAGTAAGAAACATGTTGAACCTAATAAGAAATACGTTGAACACAATAAGAAACATGTTGAACACAATAAGAAACATGTTGAACACAATAAGAAACATGTTGAACACAATAAGGAACATGTTGAACACAATAAGAAACATTTTGAACCCAATAAGGAACATGTTGAACACAATAAGGAACATCTTGAACACAATAAGGAACATGTTGATCACAATAAGAAGCATGTTGAACACAATAAGAAACATGTTGAACACAATAAGGAACATGTAGAACACAATAAGAAACATGTTGAATCTAATAAGAAACATGTTGAACATAATAAGGAACATCTAGAACACAATAAGGAACATGTTGAACACAATAAGGAACATGTTGAACACAATAAGGAACATGTTGAACACAATAAGAAATATGTTGAACACAGTAAGAAACATGTTGAACACAAAGAACATAATGAACTGAATAAGAAACATGTTGAACACAATAAGGAACATCTAGAACACAATAAGGAACATGCTGAACCCAATAAGAAACATGTTGAACACAATAAGAAATATGTTGAACACAGTAAGAAACATGTTGAACACAAAGAACATAATGAACTGAATAAGAAACATGTTGAACACAATAAGGAACATCTAGAACCCAATAAGGAACATGCTGAACCCTATAAGAAACATGTTGAGCACAATAAGAAACATGTTGAACACAATAAGGAACATCTAGAACCCAATAAGGAACATGGTGAACCCAATAAGGAACATGTTGAACACAATATGGAACATGTTGAATACAAGAAACATTTAGAACCCAATAAGGAACATCTAGAACACATTAAGGAACATGGTGAACCCAATAAGGAACATGTTGAACACAATAAGGAACATGTCGAACCCAATAAGGAACATGTTGAACCAAATAAGGAACATGTTGAACACAATAAAGCACATCTAGAACACAATAAGGAACATGGTGAACCCAATAAGGAACATGGTGAACACAATAAGGAACATGTTGAATACAATAAGGAACATTTAGAACTCAATAAGGAACATGTTGAACACAGTGAGGAACATGTAGAACACAATAAGGAACTTTGTGAACCCAATAAGGAGCATGTTGAACACAATAAGGAATATGTTGAACCCAATAAGGAACATGTTGAACCCACTAAGGAACATGTTGAACACAATAAGGTACACCTTGAACACAATAAGGAGCATCTAGAACCCAATAAAGAATATGTTGAACACAATAAGGAACATCTAGAACCCAATAAGGAACATGGTGAACCCAATAAGAAACATGTTGAACCCAATAAGGAACATGTTGAACCCAATAAGGAACATGTTGAACACAATATGGAACATGTTTTTCCTGATAAGGAACTTCTAGACCCCAATAAGGAACTTGTTGAACACAACAAGGAACATATTGAACACAATAAGGAACATGTTGAGCCTAATAAGAAACTTCTAGAACACAATAAGGAACATGTTGAACACAATAAGGATCATGTTGAACTCGATAAGGAACATGTTGAACACAATAAGGAACGTCTAGAACTCATTAAGGAACATGTTGAACCCAATCAGGAACATGTTGAACCTAATAAGAAACACATTGAACCTAATAAGGAACATCTAGAACTCAATAAGGAACATTTAGAACCCAATAAGGAGCATGTTGAACCCAATAAGGAGCATGTTGAACCCAATAAGGAGCATGTTGAACCCAATAAGGAGCATATTGAACCCCTTAAGGCAACTGAACCTCTGAAGGCAGGTTACCAACAGAAGTTACCACAGCTACAGAATGTTACGAGTCAAGTGGAGCAGTTTAGTGAACCACATATGGGTGAAGAAGCAAAAGAGACGGTAAGAACAGATCCATTACAGAATGTTCTCTCTCTACTTTATATGTTGTTTCTGTGTAATCTGTTTCATTCCCTGTTAATCTGCGTATTGGATTGTATCTCTTTCCGTTGTTTCTTGAGTTCCACCGTAAAATTAGGTACTGTATCCATTATAACAAAGTTCTGTGTGTGTGTGTGTTGCTGTCAAGCTTTGTCTGTCTTTTGAACACTGACAGACTCTGGCCTGGGGTACTTAACAGTGATTATTGTCATGTAAGTCACTTGTAATGCTTCATAGGTCATGAAAGTTTTTTCAGGAAACATAATTTTACTCACACAAAGCTAATAAGAAAATAATAAGTCCTTTCCTAGATCTCTCACACCTCCAAATTTACTAAGATACTGTGCAGTAGTTTTCTTACTCCCATTTGTTGTACAGTATTCCTCTCATCCAACAATATTATTTGTCAGCTTTCTAAAAGGTTTGGCTCCAGTTATGTAATTTAATCCAGAACTTTTTAATTTTTAGGGAGATGAAGTAAGAAGCTCTGCGAATGAAGGAGCAGAGTCGCATCAACCACGTAGTGTAGAACCTCGGGAACATCGCTTCTTGGCACATACATACAGCTTAAAAATGTTCAACAGTTTATATAAGAAAAATAAACTCCTTAAAAAATCTGTGAAATTCCAAAGAATGGCAGATATTCACCAGAAGAAAGCAATCTTAATAAAGAAAAAAAAAGTTTCCCAAATAGAGATAGATAGACAGAAAGAACAATTATCAAAACTTGTGAAGAAGAGAGACAGTTTGAGAATTAAGCTTGACCAACTGAACAAAAATATTGTCACTTTCAAAAATGAGAAAGAAAGGTTATCAAGTCAGATCTGTGAAATGCAGAGTAAGAGCGAGAAACTGTGGCACGCAAGGAACCAAATTAAAGACCTTATTTCTTCATATATAACCAAAAGGGAGGAGACTTTTGCACTTATTTGTACCAAAAGATTCACAAGTGAAGCACTCGATGCAAAATGTAGAGCTATGGACAATATGTTACAAACTCTTCGCTTAAGGTCAAGTGATATAGGGGACAATAGATTTTATTTTAAGAATGAGATTAATAAAGCAAAGGCAGAGTATAGGAGCTATATTTCTAAAGTAAAAACAGCAGAGAAACGGGTAAAATACATTTACGTCAATATTACCAAAGTCTCAGAGACGATAATGAGCCTTAGAAAAAGACTACACCTGTTTGGGACAGTAAATGCCCCTATGTGTAGGGCTGATAAATTAGAGGCAAGGGCTTGTAATTATAGATATTTAGCCCAACTTTATCAGAAGCAACATCACATGCTTAAGGCTCTGACAGTTAACAAAGACAATAGTACTGATGCTGCTACTGTACAACACCACGTGCCTCAACCTGTGACAGTGAATGAAGACAATAGTACTGATGCTGCTACTGTACAACACCACGTGCCTCAACCTGTGACAGTGAATGAAGACAATAGTACTGATGCTGCTACTGTACAACACCACGTGCCTCAACCTGTGACAGTGAATGAAGACAATAGTACTGATGCTGCTACTGTACAACACCACGTGCCTCAACCTGTGACAGTGAATGAAGACAATAGTACTGATGCTGCTACTGTACAACACCACGCCTCAACTCAGACAGTGAATGAAGACAATAGTACTGATGCTGCTACTGCACACACAAAAACAAACAAACAACACCCAAAAAAAACACACACACAAACACCACGTGCCTCAACCGAGACAGTGAATGAAGACAATAGTACTGATGCTGCTACTGTACAACACCACGTGCCTCAACCTGTGACAGTGAATGAAGACAATAGTACTGATGCTGCTACTGTACAACACCCCACGGCTCAACCTGTGACAGTGAATGAAGACACAGTACTGATGCTGCTACTCTACAACACCACGCCTCAACCTGTGACAGTGAATGAAGACAATAGTACTGATGCTGCTACTGTACACCACGTGCCTCAACCTGTGACAGTGAATGAAGACAATAGTACTGATGCTGCTACTGTACAACACCACGTGCCTCAACCTCAGACAGTGAATGAAGACAATAGTACTAATGCTGCTACTGTACAACACCACGCCTCAACCCTGACAGTGAATGAAGACAATAGTACTGATGCTGCTACTGACAACACCACGTGCCTCAACCTGTGACAGTGAATGAAGACAATAGTACTGATGCTGCTACTGTCCAACACCACGTGCCTCAACCTGTGACAGTGAATGAAGACAATAGTACTGATGCAGCTACTGCAACACCACGTGCCCTCAACCTGTGACAGTGAATGAAGACAATAGTACTGATGCTGCTACTGTACAACACCACGTGCCTCAACCCTGACAGTGAATGAAGACAATAGTACTGATGCTGCTACTCTACAACAACCGCGCCTCAACCTGTGACAGTGAATGAAGACAATAGTACTGATGCTGCTACTGTACACCACGTGCTCAACCTGTGACAGTGAATGAAGACAATAGTACATTGCAAACGACAGTGAATGAAGACAATAGTACTGATGCTGCTACTGTACAACACCACGTGCCTCAAGCTGTTACTGTGAATGAAGACAATAGTACTGATGCTGCTACTGTACAACACCACGTGCTTCAAGCTGTTACTGTGAATGAAGACAATAGTACTGATGCTGCTACTGTACAACACCACGTGCCTCAAGCTGTTACTGTGAATGAAGACAATATTATTGTTTCTGCAAAAGATATGTGGGAGACTCAAAAAGAAGAGTTATCATGGAAAATAACTGATTTATGCAAGAATGTCGATGAACCAAAGAAACAGTTTCACTCACTTGGTTCTTCACTGATTTTACCCGATTTTTACACAGTTTCAGATAAAAGCAAACATAGGAGGTGGAAGAGTAGGAGGGGTAGGACATCAACTGCAGTTTGGGACGCTAGAATAATCGGGACGGCTCCCATAGAGCACAAATTCATGTATTATCCGTTCAGAATGTGGGACGTTTCAAATAAAGATTCAGTTAGACATGTTGATGAACCCCCAGAGGAATCTCCACCTACAAACCCCCATAACAGTTGAACTGTTGTAGGAAAATTAGTGGCTAATAAATAATCAGCTACTGAAATGGCTGACTGCATTATTCTGTATCTCCCACAATATGTTGAAGAAAAGGAAATTTGACTAAGATACTCATTAAAAGATTCTGTCTTGCTTTTTTAAGTTATTTATTTGTTAATCGAAAATGATGTTCTATGTCCATATTAAATTGTGAATGAGCATTATAAACTATAGAGATTTGTTCAGTATTATATACGGCTCATTAGTGGTGTTAATACAAGTATTATAAACTATAGAACTCTTGGTTTGTGAAAATATACTGTAGGAGAAATACTTAAAATTATATTAGGTTGTGTTTAAGATATAGGATAAAACGATTAACAGATTATTTAATTATATTTTATGAAAAACAGAAGATGTTTAGTTACATTTAAGGCAAGGGCTGTTTAGGTTCATGTACAGGTTATCAGTTGTGAACATTACTGCAGCTTCCTTTAAACATTGATGGTGTTCATTACTTTACTATTGAAGATTTAGACTAAACATTTACTGTTTATGGATATTAACAAGAAAAATATTGAAAATGTTTAGTTATATTTTGCATAAAGGTTTTAAGGATGTACAGTATAGTATGTAAGAATTACCTGCAGGAGAAATATACTGTAGTGTGGGAGGTTATGGGGTGTAAGGTGTCCAGTAGAGAAAGTCATTATAGTGACAAAGGTTGACTGCCACTGAGGGTATGACCTGTGTTAGTAGATGTGAAGAGTGTACAGAACAGAACAGGAGCAAGTTTATATTACTGCACTGTACAAGTACTGCTGAAGGTGCAATTATAATGATTAAGTGATCCTGAGTTTACACACTTAGTGGTTGTTAATAAATGAAGAGATGTTACTGTAGTGAAAGATTATTTATTAATGATGTGTATTATTTAATGGTTATTGATAATAATGGCTATTTCTTTAATATTAATGTATTAGGCTATTATTATTATTATTATTATTATTATTATTATTATTATTATTATTATTATTATTATTATTATTATTGTTATTGTTGTTGTAGACCAGTTATTTACAACACCTGGCCAAATCTTTATATATTTATCATTTATCTGTTATTAGAAATATATACTCTAGCTTAATAACTTATTAGTTAATTAATTGTATTAATATTTCTTTAACTAAAGATGTAAGAAAATATTTTCTACTTGTACAGGTAGTACTAAGTAAATTAATATAAAGTACAGTAATAGTACTGTACTGTATACTACCAAGTAAAGTATTGTAAAGTACTAGTACTGTACTGTGTTAAGAACCACGCCACCAATTGTCATGATCTACCTACCCAGCACCACGAGCAACGCCATCTAGGGACGAGACACGAGTATGACTAGCCTTAGTTACCACTCCGGGGTTTCCCTTCTCCATATCCTGGTTGTTGCGTCACCTCCTACAAGTCTTCTTCATCAGCTCCAGTTCGAGGAGAGTTCAGTTCACTCTGGGAAGTGACCACAGGACCACCTATCCTGGAAACCTACGGCACAGTGACTACCTACCGTCTTCTACAATACTCAGCCTTACTCGTCAGCCATCTCAGCTCCGCACTTAAGTATTTGTAATCTTGTATTGCCTCCCCCACGTCCACCTTGCTTCAAATTATTGTATGTTGTATAAATATGTATATACTGTTAATGTTTAGGTTAAGTATGGTTAAGGGTAAATTATAGAAAGCTGAATATTTTGTTAAGGAATTTATGGTACTTTATTATACACAACAAAAACTCGCATCCTTTGTCTACCCTTTTATCGTCAGATTGTCTTTGTTTTTTTATTGTTGTTGCCTGTTGGGATCTGGGTAGACTTTTAACTATATTCTAAATCCCCAACTCGTAACACCTGTATACCAAGTAAAGTACAACAGTGTCAAGTTCTACTCAGTACATACTGTATTTTTCAGGTTTGGACTCACACCTGCCCTGCTGGGCTGCCACAGTAACAGTAAAGGAAGCTGAGGTTTTCTCATAATGTTTATGTTCATGAAGCAATGTACTGTATATGTTTACCTTAGGTACAGTACACATGTTTATTGTGGGGTAATAAAGGCGTTTATTCTGAGGTGATAGTTATTATCATATACTCGACTATACTGTACAGTGCATTATGTGGTTAAATGACCTGCCCTCATAAATCTAGTCTGGATGGATCATATTGATCTGATATGTTGTTTTTAAGGTGATGAGTTGACACTTGGTTTAGTGAGGTGGGGAACTATGTGACGTGTTTGGCGGAGTTGTACCATATTACTGCACTGTACAGAGGCTCACCAACACCAGCTACTGTAGTTGTGGGCCATTAACAGCTGTTATGATCTCTCAGTCAGTGCACACCATAAAAATCTGAAATACAGTATTTCCACACTACTGTACGAGTCTGTCCCGAGCTTGTGTAACCTCACATTGTTGTCTTGTATAATACAGTATAGAAGAACTGAATCTCACCTTCTATATCTTATAACTTCAAATTGGATTTTTATAATGAATTTCAGTTTTACTGTATTGTGAATGTAAACATTTACATACGAGTCTAAATGGAGTTGAGGTAACAGGTGAAGGATATTAAGAGAAAACAACACTGTTCTGTACTGTACTTGGTGGTGGAAAACTAACTTAATTGTTAATCAATTTTCATGTAAAGGTCGTTTTTTATGTCCCCAGTGAGTGACAGGACTTATTGTAGGTTAGAGGACTGCAAGGCCAGGATTAAATGGTTTACTGCAACAGAGGACACAGTTTAGGGTTGCCATATCTGAACATTCATAAAAGAGGACGCTCCCGAAGACATCCTGCCCCCCCCCCCCGGCACACACTTTGGCGCTATGTAACCTTGAAGCAGCCGGGGTGTCCAATCTGCAGGTGAAAAAACTGGGGTGCCAAATCTTCAGGTGATATGAGCTGGGGTGTCCAATCTTCAGGTGATATAAACTGGGGTGTCAAATCTTCAGGTGATATAAATTAGGGTGCCTAATCTTCAGGTGATATAAGCTGTGATGCCTAATCTTCAGGTGATATAAACTGGGGTGCCTAATCTTCAGGTGAAATAAGCTCGAGTGGCTAATCTTCAGGTGATATAAGCCAGATGCTTCAGGTGATATGATGCCAATCTTCAGGTGATATAAACTGGGGTGTCAAATCTTCAGGTGATATAAATTAGGGTGCCTAATCTTCAGGTGATATAAGCTGTGATGCCTAATCTTCAGGTGATATAAACTGGGGTGCCTAATCTTCAGGTGAAATAAGCTCGAGTGGCTAATCTTCAGGTGATTCGTTTCATGTCACCCCAGACCTTAACCTTAATAACACTAAACCATGAAGTAACCGTTAAGTTAGGCGAAGATCATATCAGATTAAGGTATGCTAGGTTAGCCTTATATTTTGTTAATGCTATAGTAGGTTAAATGTCAAGTGTAGGATATGTTAAGGCAATATTAGGTAAGGTTAGGTTAAGGGTATGATTAGTATTGTGTTAGGATAAAGTTATGTTAGACTACCGTTACTTTAGGTTAATATGAGGTATGGGCGTCCACTGGGAGGCCAAGCTTATATCAAGGGAAAGCAGATTGTTCCAAACAACTCTCACTCAAAAAAGTTTGCCCTCACAGTTTTCTGAATTTATGGCTTCTTCAACCTTCAGCTGTGATCCCTAGTGAGGCGAGCATCCACCAGTTCCAGGTATGAACACTCGACTGAGGAATGTCCTCAGAGTTAATTATCGGACTTTTGTTAAGTCACCCTTTACCCGCCAAGTATAAAGTAGGCAACTGCAGGCGTTCTAATCTCTCAGGGTACCTGAGGTGCCGTAATGCATACACCAGTCTGGCGACCCTCTTTTGAATAATATTGTCAATCAACTAACAGTCTCAAACAAATGTTCATTAACATTAACAAATGTAGGATACACTACTACTACTACTTTGCTGTCACTCGGAATCGAGTATGACGATCATCCAGCGATGATAGAATGATACGAGTTATTAAGGATGTCACCTACGTTGGCGAGTTCTGAGGTGAATGAAGATGTTGTACATGTGGGGGTCTACATCTAGTGTGGGAAGGGCGACGGCAGCGTCTTTCCGGCGTTGGCGCTTGTCTGCCTCGTTTTGCAGTTGGGCTAACTCGAAAGTATTGACACCTTCTTGTGTGGTGCTCCTCCAAGCGTTACAGTGTGGAGTAATCGTCTCCCAGGTGAGTGGGTCGATTGGGTACTTTTTCAGGTTTGTCTTAAGACTATCCTTATACCTCTTCAGTTGCCCTCAGTGTTACATTTACTATTTGTTAAGTGACTGTAAAGTAGCTGTTTTACTTTTCACTTTTATCCTCTTCACCACTGATCGGCTCGTTAGCCGCTTGGGCGATCGGTCACGTCTCTGTTACGCACTGTTGGCAAGTACTGGGCATGTACCGGCTCCTGAATGTATCTGAACCTGCTCCAGTGTTGGTCAAGTCTGGTCTTGAAAGAGCTCACACTCGGTGCCGTCACAACACTCTCTGGTAGATTGCTCCAAGAGTTCACAACTCTCATTCTGAAAAAGTTTGCCCTCACAGTTTTCTGGACCTGCGGCTTCCTCAATCTTGAGCTGTGACCTCTTGTGGGGCGAGTGTCCGTCAGCTCCAAGTAAGGACACTCGACTGAGTAGTGCCCCCTGAGATGCTTATACACCTCAATTAGGTCGCCCCTTGCCCGTCTGTAGTATAAGCTAGGCAAGTTCAGGCGCTCCAATCTCTCAGGGTAGTTGAGGTGCCGAAGTGCAGGCACCAGTCTGGTGGCCCTCCTTTGAACATTTTCAACCAACTGACAGTCCCTATCATATCTTGGGGACCAGACGGGGTGACAGCACTCCAGATGGGGAAACACTTCACTCTTAAAGATCGTTACGAGGGACGGACCGTCTAACTATCTGAACGACCTTCTTATAAGACCCAATAATTTATTTGCCCGATTTACCTTCTTCTCGCAATGGCCCGAGAACTTTAGCTCATTGTTAACATACACACCTAGATCCTTCTCAAATTCAGTCTCAACTAGTGCAGTTTCTTCATCCTGTCGGGACATATGATACACCTCCTTACCGTTGGTACGCCCCAGGTGCATCCTCTTACACTTCGTGACATTGAATCTCAGCAGCCATTTCTTCGACCATTCTTGGAGCCCACAGAGGTCCTTCTGCAGCTCTTCAGAATCCGCTTGGTTCTTGATTTCCCGAAATAACTTGGCGTCATCGGCAAACATATGTATGGATGAGTGTACAACGTCAGGCATGTCATTTATGAAACAAACAAACAACAGCGGGCCCAATACATCCTTGTGCATTTCGTAACATTGAGCCTTAAAAGCTATATACCTTGACCATTTTAGCAGCTGACAGAGATCTTCCTGTAGCGCTTTACTTCACTCGTCATTATTAATTTCCCCAATTATTTTAGCATCTTCCACAAACATTTACCTAAATTTGTTGTTTTATGTACGAGTTCTTTTAACATGTGAACTGTGAAACAATATATGAAAGGATATTTACTGTTAATAAGTAGAAGTTACCTAAAACAAAGGTAAAGTTGTATGAACAGTATGAAAGGATATTTTTCTTTTAGTCAATTACTTGTTTATTAAAGAATCTATACGATGAAATTGTATATATACTATTTTTCTCATTGGTTTAGATACAAGTTTTAGGTGGTTAATATTGAAAGTGAGTTACCTTAAATGAAATAGTAATAATGGAAGGATTGATGTGCGAGTGGTAGTGATCTGGCAACAGTGTGAGAATGTAAACAAAGCTGGTTAGGAGTGACGGACAGACGGGTTGGGTCTAAGTGGCTCAAAAACAAAGGTATTTCTTCCAATTCCACGATAATGACTGTTGAAAACTAGTTAAATTATATAAGTAAGTGTGAATTATATTTATCATGATAGCTGGTAAAAGAAGGAAACGTGATAATTGAAGATAGATAACGGTAAGTGATCGCCCTACAGGTCCCTTCACCCAGAACCTCTCCTACAGGTGACGGAACTGTATTTCTAGGTGATGAAACCTGATTTATCGGATATTTTACGGTAATTACATTATTTTTGGCGGTTTTAATCTATATGTAGAAGAATGTACAAAATTGCAGCTGGGCTCAGGAGATACTGGTGCCTCTGCCACGGGAGGTAACGGAGTCGAATTTCCAAGAAGTAAAACCTTATTTTTATGCTACTTGACAATGTTTCTGTAAGATATCATAGTACTGTTTAAAGAAGTGTGTTAAAACTATAGAACCTGTCATCTTATAGATAAACGGATAGCTAACAAACTTAAGTTAATGTATAGAAAACAACCCAGCAAATGCACGTTTTCCATTATGGGCTTTGTCCATTTCTCCTTCGCTATGTGGTAGGGGGTGAAGTATCAGCTCTTTTCACTTTGTTTTAATAGGATGTGGTTGTTTTTTATATAAGGGATATCCCCAAATTGTCATACAGCACTGGTCTGGGGTCCGACTAATTACTCAAATGTACCCAAATGTAGCCAAATATAGCCGGAATGAAGTCAAATAATGGTCCTAGATGAATAAATCGGACTGCCAATCACTTCTCGACTAGTATTTGGTGTCAGAAAGTCACAAAAAATTGGTAAACTTAATTTAATCTGAGTTAATAGATCGAGTGCATGTACCGACGGAGCGAGGAATTACCCAAATGTACCCAAATGTAGTCGCAATGAAGTCAAATAATGGTCCTAGATGAATAAATCGGACTGCCAATCACTTCTCGACTAGTATTTGGTGTCAGAAAGTCACAAAAAATTGGTAAACTTAATTTAATCTAAGTTAATAGATCGCGTGCATGTACCGACGGAGCGAGGAATTACCCAAATGTACCCAAATGTAGTCGCAATGAAGTCAAATAATGGTCCTAGATGAATAAATCGGACTGCCAATCACTTCTCGACTAGTATTTGGTGTCGTAAAGTCACAAAAAATTGGTAAGCTTAATTTAATCTGAGTTAATAGATCGAGTGCATGTACCTAACCTAACCTAACCTAACCTCGACTAGTATTTGGTGTCACGAAGTCACAAAAAATTGGTAAACTTAATTTAATCTGAGTTAATAGATCAAGTGCATGTACCTAATCTAATCTAACCTAACCTAACTTAACACAACACAACTCAGATTAAATTAAGTTTACCAATTTTTTTTTCACTTTATGACACCAAATAGTAATAGAGAAGTGATTCACAGCCCGAATTACGCTTGTACGACCATCATTTGACTTCATTGCGGCTACATTTGGGTAATTCCTCGCTCCGTCGGTACATGCACGCGATCTATTAACTCAGATTAAAGTAAGTTTTCCAATTTTTTGTGACTTTCTGACACCAAATACAGTGACCCCTCGTTTAACGAACGCCTCGGTTAACGAAATTTCGGTTAACGAACTGCCTTCCATAAGGATCTTCAATTCGGTTAATGAACAAAAATTCGGTTAACGAATTTCTTACGAACCGACCTCAACATGTTTTCGCTTGCACTGACCGGGCAACCAGCTTTAGTATCAGTCCGCCAATACATTAATCGGTTCTAGGGCTTAAATTCCTTACTATTTTAGTAAATATCAAGAAATTTATACTATTCAAAAATTTTAAAAGTTTAATATTTAATTTTTTAGTCATTTTAACAATTATTGAACATAATTGAAGGTAAAGTGACTAGTTTAATGCGCGGCATCCAGCCTCTTAACACAGCAAACAGGAGTTAGTCTCTCTCTGTTTTCACTGGAGGTAACATCTTGCTTGAGACTTTCTTCAACTAAACGCTGTTTTTCTAGTGTTTCCAAGCAAATTATTGGTCATTTTGAAATATATTTTACATATTGACAATATATAATGCAGTGCAGTGTTGATTTAAAGAAAATAATCTTGAATTACACCAAGAGAGCTAAAATTTTATGGGTGAAATGGCGCCATGGGGTGACTTCTCTTCCACCCCAATGCCTTCTCTTCTTCCTTCTCCTCCACCCCATTCTAAATCCCATCATCATCATCATCATCATCCAGGAGCCTTCTACATACACACCTCAAAGTAAGTGAACTTTTCTACCATTTTTGTTGAATTTAGGAAATTTTCGGTGAGCTGGAACCAATTACCCAAAAACCCATTGAAACAATGGTTTCGGTTAACGAACTTTTCGGTTAACGAACGACCTTCTGGAACGGATTGGGTTCGTTAACCGAGGGGTCACTGTACTAGTCGAGAAGTGATTAGCAGTCCGATTTATTCATGTAGGACCATTATTTGACTTCATTGCGACTATATTTGGGTACATTTGGGTAATTAGTCGGACCGCTGGTCTGTTGGCTCTAGTGTTTGACTTTGAACCTAAATTTCATAAATCAATCACTCAATTCTTCTTCAATATAAATACCCTGTACCTCACAAAGTGAGCAGGGCTTTGATGAAGTGAGAAAATATGGAGTTAAAACATATAAAACATAGTCATCTGGGTTAGGTTAGTGTTTGTAACACTGCCACAAGTTTCCATGGAGAGGTTTGACGTTTTTAACACTGCCACAAGCTACCAGCTACCGAGAACAGTGAAAGAAATGCTTTAGCTTTAAAAATTTATAGAAATAAGGGAAAATACTGTTTACATTTTTTAACCTCACATTTTACTTCAAAGCCCAGCCCACTTTATTGGGTATTAATACTGAAGGAGGAGAAATGGGTCATAACTCAAAATTTAAAACTTTTGCACAAGAAATTATTATCACCAGTGTATATCTTCTAGTAAAACCGTGTCTTGTTGCGTCAAATAGAAAAGGCAGCCTACAGTAGGGACATTTGTTTCTATGACTACCTATTGGCTACCTCGTGTGACCTGAGATAGCTACTGTAGCTATATGGTACAGTATGTAATCATGGAAAAGACTTAATAATGCATATTTTTCATGCTTGTTATTTGTTTATTATTATAATATTTTTTGTCTCCACAGATAATTGTTAACAACTTGTGGAGGATGTTTATTGTCAGTAAGATGATGGAGTTCTCTGACTCCACCATCTTATTTACCTCATGGCCACCCACTAGAGGTGGCCATTTCGAGGGAAGGGGGCCAGTGGCCTGTGTAGGATCACTCCATTATTCTTGATAATTTTGTCAAGAGCTATTTTGAAGCCCTGTACTGTTGTTGATTCCACAGCTTGTGCTGGTAGACCGTCCTATAGGTATGCCAGCCTCTGTATGAAGAAGTATTTCCTGACTTGCCTTGAGATGTCTTTGTGTAGGCTTGATATGGGGTCACCACACAGTTACTTAGAATTTATTAATGGAATCTCTTCTATGTTTGTTATAATGAGTAGAATACAAATATGGTTTGAGAGTGAGGAAAAACTTATGAGAACTTAGAAAAATAGTGTTTTAAGTTTCCATGAGACAACAGTGTGGTATGTTTGGTTTGAAAACAAAGTTTAATGTTTAAGTAGTAGACAAAATGATAATTATATAATTATGAAGAATTATTAGTCTTGAATTATTAATACATTAATAAGGTTAATATTCTGTAGTGACCATGAACAGAACTTTAGCAATATTGATTCTCCCATAAGGTGATAAAACAAAACAATCTAAGAATACAGTTCTTTGCCCTATAGTATTTTTGGTGGGAAATTTATAATTTTCATGTTATTTTCACATTTTTATTTCACAAGAAAGTACAGAACTACAAATTCACCGGTATATAATTTTTTTACTTCTAACTCAGGCATTCGGCAGAAGTGTCGATGTCATGTGATACTTGTGGGCATGCACTTAATTCTTACTTGGTCTCGTTGTCACATGAATTTGAATTAATGGGAAGATGGCTTCTGCCTGGGAAGGTTGTTCATTGGAAAACTAGAGGGTAATTCAACGAGTAGTTGAGAACAAAGCAACAGCTGGTGCCATCTATAGGTCTCCTGGTGTTCTCTTTGGTTCAGTGAAGTGTCGAAGGTGTAATTGTCTGTTCTCATCAAGATCCTCCTCCGTGTGTTATTTAAGGTCAGGTCAGGTAAGGTTAGGTTAGGTTTACACACTGGGGATGGGGTCCAGGGGGACAGTCTCTCCTGGTTTCTCTGGTTAGGTTAAGTTAGACATGTATACTGTACTGATATTTGAGTCATTTTTGTGTGTTTTTACCCCACCATGTTGGTAATTGAGGGAGGTTCATATCTCCAAAAGTACTCATTTTTGCTGTATATGAAGGCCATGTTCATGTGAAACAGTGAAAAACACTATAAAAACATTTATGAAAGTAACATCTGTGAATAGTCACTGCGGAATATTCACTAATAACAATGTTAATTGTGTTAAAAATTTCATTGTTAATTTTCAGTATTTTTTTTTTCAGGTTGCATGGAATACTGTCAGTCTAAGAGATCAAGTGTCCCACACACTAAGGATAAAAGAATGGCTGAACCGTTATTCAAGCGAGTGTGTCAAGACCCTGGTAGATGGCTTACAGACAACACTACGTACATAGATCCAAATGCTGTCAGAAACACAATTATTCATGGTTTATCTGAGCCTCTGGTGTTTAGAAGTTACCTCACACCTAGGTATGAGGGCCAGAGTTCACCTCACTGGAAATGTATGCAGTGGGATCCTGCAGATTGGGGTAAACTGTTCAAAGAGACAGTACTTAAGTTTCGGATAGGCACAAGAGTAAAGGAAAAGAACTTACTGTCTGCCCCACAGTGGGAGGCCTCATGCTCCACGGCCAATATGACATTTTCAGAATTTTTGCAGTGGTCGAGAGGGGAGAGGACTTGTTTAACTTCCTGTAAACAAAAAGTGAACTGTGATGATCATTGGGCTTACTTTGATTATTTTTATATGAAGGACTTGGATCTTGTTAACCAGATGAAAGGTGTTTTAGATTGGAGTTTATTTGGTTATTCTGATAGAGGAGTTAAAGATAGCACTCTGTGGATTGGCACACCAGGGGCCAATACTCCTTGTCACATAGATACTTATGGGTGTAACCTTGTAGCTCAGGTAATTGGTAGAAAGAGATGGGTATTATTCCCTAAATCTCAGTCACAGTATCTGTCACCCACACGCATCCCCTATGAGGAGTCGAGCATATATAGTGAAGTTGGTTTTCCTTGTCCTAGTTTGGTCTCCCATCCCAAGCTGCAGTTTAGTACTCCATATGTGGTCACACTAGAACCAGGTGATGTATTGTTTGTACCGAGGCAGTGGTGGCACTTTGTAGAAAACCTGGACTTTGCAGTGAGTGTAAACACCTGGTTGGAGCTTCCTTCCGACTGTGAGGAACGGATTAAGGAGTCTCTTGTTATGTTCCAGGTTGCAAGTCTCTGTCAGGGAGTTCATTCTCTTGAACTTATTAGCTCAGTGTTTAACCCTAACATGATGGACGTTGCCACCATGACATCTTCTGAAGTTCTGAAAATCTTGGCCCACCGTGTGTTTCAGTCCTCGGATGGCAGACACACTAGTGTGGCTGAAGGTGGTGACAAGAATGCAACACTGGGTGGAAAAACTTCAAAAGAAAGAGAGACAGCAAAACAGTTATTACTACCCAAAGATGGGAAGAGCACAGTGGACGAAGGAGTCTTTGATGTTATTGAGTGGAGAAATGATGAGTGGTGTGTAAATCACAATATTGAGAGAGTTGCCAGCATGTCATTCTCCAAATACATGCATCTGGTTGTGGGGTGTGATGAAGAGGAAAGTAAGATGTTGTGTGTAGACAAAGAAAAAGTACGTAACAAGACCAAAGGTGTTGATATTAGTGAAGATGATTCTGTCATTCAGTGTTCACAGCTTAAGCTCCTGGTGGATGCCTTCACTGATCAAAGAGTGATTGATATGTTAAAAACAGTTATAGATGAAAAGTTAGAAATTAATTAAAAGTTATCTTTTGTCCTTTTTTTATTAAGACAGCTGAGTCTTATGATGTAGGATGAGAGAGGATAATTATATATATTTTGTGAATTGTTATTATGTACCTACATTATATACAGTACAGTATATATATTGTAGTGTACTTAAATACTCTAGCTACAGTGTTTTAGTTTTGCCTGCGATATCACAAAAAGTGAGATGTTGGTTTAGCTTTTGCAACAGAAGTGTTGATGATGGCATTAGTAATACTGTATAGGTACTGTAATTAAGTTTCTCAACAAATCACAGACAGTGTGTACATGTGGCCACACTTTTCAAGTTTACTGTTATTAATAGATTGTTTTGTTTCGAGAACTGTCATGATAATTATCCTCCACTCAGAGCTGGTGTTCGTTGCTTAAATCAGCTTAGTGTGTGTGTGTAAAATTCTTTAGAATGCTTGGTTGCTTTTACAGTAGTTGTCTTTGTAGGGTGTGGAAATTTTGACATTAAATTTATAGTCAGATCTTTGATAAACTTATGATTTTGTTACTGTTCTCACTTATCTTTTATCTTACAGGACAATGAATCTTATGTGTGAAGTATAGTGAATACTGTACAAGGAAAGTTGTAACAAGATTGTCTGAATTGTGTTAAGTGAAGCTGATACTGACTGACTATCCTGAGAGAAAAAATTTAAAGGAAGCATACTGTACTGTACTAATTTTTGTTTGTAATTGATGATGGCAGAAGAGCTTTTATCACATTTTGTGTATCTTGGGAATAAAAGATAACATTTATTTCATATTTTAATGCCTCCAGTTGTAAGACATAACCATGGCAGAGTGTGAAAATGGTATTCAGACATTATCATCGCTCTCGATTGAAAACAGTATTGTGTTTTTGCAGGAGTTAGTTTGTCGTTTTGTGAATATTGAATTTAGTGAATCTTGTGCTGCATTCTTACGAGAGTTAATGAGGTCGATTCCTCCAAACTTCCACGCCGAGTTCCTCGATAAATTAGCTCCGATTTTTGACAACGTTACGGAGGCTCCCTTAGATAAAAATATACTTGACGTTATAGATGAGTTGGCATTAATGTTGTTATCGCCGTCTATAACGCAGATTGATGTTGATAAGTTCAAGTTTCCCACGAGAAATCCTTCCAAATATTTAATGGCTCTGGAACATGCCAAGAGCCTCAGAATGCTAATCAGCTATCGAGAAAATGTGTGGAAATATTCTCTAAGTAAATTTGAACTTCTCTGCTCAGCGGTGACTAAAATGTCAATGCTGAGGCACCTAACGTTACGCCATATTAAAATTGCCAGCTACAAAATTAATGAGCTGTTATTGGGTTTGGCTTTAAATAGTCCTCATCTCTCATATTTGGACTTAAAGTTTGGTGCATTAACAGACTCAGGACTTGATCCAGGGTCGTTGGAGAAGTTTGGAAAAATTGCACATTTCTCCGATTGTATTCCTGCTTTGTTGATGATGAAAAACCTGCAACATCTCAACGTAAGCGAGACGTGGTTAACGTATGTGGGTGTAAAGGCAATAGTGAAGCATTTAGACCTCAAGAGACTAGACGCCGTAGTAGATGGTGGATACGATCTCCAGGCCGTAGTGATAAAGGATTTGCTAGCGGCACCCCAAGACACCCCATTCTCACTATCCAGAACAGCATATACTCTTGCTCACGAGGAATTGGGTATACAAGCTATCTGTAAAGCGTGTCCACTACTAGAACACGTCACCATACAACACTGTAGCGTTGGACTAGTCAAGTCTCATTTCCTCGCTCTTTCAACCCTCCAACATTTAAAGAAGGTCACATTGTGTGGTCTGGAATGGTTACTCCTTCACTCCCACATTGCAATCAACGAGGACCCCATGCCCATCAGCCACCTGGTGACGGAGATAACGATGACAGAACCCTCGTGTGCCGACGCGACGCACCTCGGTTCCTTGTCTATATGTTTCCCACAAGTGACTCACCTGTGGGTGCTCGGATCACAGGACAATAAGAGCGGCGAACCCTGGGATGGAGGCCGAGTCTTCACCAAATTGACTCATCTTTACTACCAGGGTTCGCTCTTTATTGGAGATTTTGGCAGAATTGAGGTAATTAGACATCCTTTAGACTTATAAGATCTGTTGGTCTTTATCTTACTTAATTAGTAAGTTTGTACAGTGCAGTGAAACTTAACATGTTTCCCTTTCTTGTTTGCTTAATGCAGTTAGAAAAAGAATTGATTTAATTTTGTCTATATATACAGTATATATATATATATATATATATATATATATATGGTAATTATTGATGACTGACCCGCTGGCGATTTAGTGCTGTACTGTAAACGATTATAAAAATGCAGTATTTTCACTGTGTTTTATTGAGGACACTCGTAGTTTGTACAAATGTTATATATATAAAACCTAACCTTAACCTAACCTAACCTTAACATAAAACCTAGCATAACTTACCACCTGCCGTGGGCAATCTTACTGTCACTGAGATGGGGGGAATTTGTTTTTCTTATTAATTACTGTACTGTACTTTCTTGTTACACTGAAACAAATTCCTCTCTGGTCATATAACACAGGGATTCCTGCAGTCCCGATAGTCTCTTGTGGAAGGAAGGGTGCCGTGGTCTTTGAAAAACTGAAGGGCGAGATCGTCTTTTCCCCTGAATTTGCAAATTCTTTTCCCCTGAATTTGCAAATTACATTCATATAAGACCAGCGACACGCTTCACATGCCAAAGTGAAAATGAAACTGGCACGGGAAAGCATGGCAAGGTGCGCGGCAGCGTGTTTTGAAATATGTCAATATGATTGGCTGTTTACATATGGGGATAAGATACCACCGCATTACCGCTTAGAAGACACAGTAGTGTGCATCATAGGGGCCTAAATATATACTAAATGAAGCATTTGTAAAAGAAATGATTATCATATCAGACTCACCGATAAAAATAGAGTAAGAAGTTAAACACCAAAACAAATAACTCATCGGCAGATCAGTCATATATATATATATATATATATATATATATATATATATATATATATATATATATATATATATATATATATATATATATATATATATATATATATATATATATATATATATATATATATATATATATATATATATATATATATATATATATATATATATATATATATATATATACACAGTACTATGTTTATTTGGTCTCAAAGGTGTCGTTAACATAGAATATTACCTTTCTTAACCCTTAATATGAGTGTACTGACCCAAGGTATTCTTACAGAGAGAACAAGGGCTGCAGAATGTGCTTGATGTCTTACTTGCATGGTGCAAAAACCTGAGGAGTCTCACCCTCTACACTAACTACATCGAGAGCTCTATGGTAAGACTCAGTTTTGAGTTTTATATATTTTATGTTTGTCCCACTTTATAAATAGATATTGTTTAATGTAAATTTATGAATTAGAGATAATGAAGATGACGAAGATGGAAGTTAGCTGTAGGGACGGTGGCCATCATTAGTGGAAGTTAGCTGTAGGTACGGTAGCCATCATTAGTGGAAGTTAGCTGTAGGGACAGTAGCCATCATTAGTGGAAGTTAGCTGGAGGACGGTAGCCATCATTAGTGGAAGTTAGCTGTAGGGATGATAGTCATCATTAGTGAAGTTAGCTGTGGGACCGGTAGTCTTAGTGGAAGTTAGCTGGAGGCGGTAGTCATCATTAGTGGAAGTTAGCTGTGGGACGGTAGTCATCATTAGTGGAAGTTAGCTGTAGATCGGTGGCCATCATTAGTGGAAGTTAGCTGTAGGGACGGTAGCCATCATTAGTGGAAGTTAGCTGTAGGGACGGTAGCCATCATTAGTGGAAGTTAGCTGTAGCGGTACATCATTGTGTGCTGTAGGAGGTAGTCATCATTAGTGGAAGTTAGCTGTAGGGACGGTAGCCATCATTAGTGAAGTTAGCTGGACGGTAGTCATCATTAGTGGAAGTTAGCTGTGGATGCGGTAGCCATCATTAGTGGAAGTTAGCTGTAGGGGCCGGTAGCCATCATTAGTGAAGTTAGCTGTGAGTGCAGTAGCATCATTAGTGGAAGTTAGCTGTAGATGCGGTAGCCATCATTAGTGAAGTTAGCTGTAGGGCGGCAGCCATCATTAGTGGAAGTTAGCTGGCAGAGCGGTAGCCATCATTAGTGGAAGTTAGCTGTGGGACGGTAGCATCATTAGTGGAAGTTAGCTGTGAGGGCGGTAGCCATCATTAGTGGAAGTTAGCTGTAGGGACGGTAGCCATCATTAGTGAAGTTAGCTGTAGGGGCGGTAGCCATCATTAGTGGAAGTTAGCTGTAGGGCCAGTGAGCCATCATTAGTGGAAGTTAGCTGTGGGCGGTAGCCATCATTAGTGGAAGTTAGCTGTAGGGACGGTATGCATCATTAGTGGAAGTTAGCTGTAGGGACAGTGATCATTAGTGGAAGTTAGCTGTGGACGGTAGCCATCATTAGTGGAAGTTAGCTGTAGGGCGGTAGCCATCATTAGTGGAAGCTGGGGGCGGTACATCATTAGTGAAGTTAGCTGTAGGGGTTGGTATATTAGTGGAAGTTAGCTGTGGGGCCGGTAGCCATCATTAGTGGAAGTTAGCTGTGGGGACATTATACATCATTAGTGGAAGTTAGCTGTAGGGGACGGTAGCCATCATTAGTGGAAGTTAGCTGAGACATGGTAGCCATCATTAGTGGAAGTTAGCTGTGGAACGGTAGCCATCATTAGTGGAAGTTAGCTGTGGAGTCGGTGTCATCATTAGTGGAAGTTAGCTCCAGGGGCCGGTAGCCATCATTAGTGGAAGTTAGCTGTAGAGCGGTAGCCATCATTAGTGGAAGTTAGCTGTAGAGCGGTAGCCATCATTAGTGGAGATTAGCTGTAGGGACGGTAGCCATCATTAGTGGAAGTTAGCTGGCAAGCGGTAGCCATCATTAGTGGAAGTTAGCTGTAGGCGGTAGCCATCATTAGTGGAAGTTAGCTGGAAGGGGCGGTAGCCATCATTAGTGGAAGTTAGCTGTAAGGCATGGTGCATCATTAGTGGAAGTTAGCTGTGGGCGGTAGCCATCATTAGTGGAAGTTAGCTGTGGGACGGTAGCCATCATTAGTGGAAGTTAGCTGTAGGGGCGGTAGCCATCTAGTGAAGTACTGCCCATCATTAGGAAGTTAGCTGTGGACGGTAGCCATCTAGTGGAGATTAGCGTGGGACGGTAGCCATCATTAGTGGAAGTTAGCTGTAGGGACGGTAGCCATCATTAGTGGAAGTTAGCTGTAGGAGGTGGCATCATTAGTGGAAGTTAGCTGTAGAGACGGTAGCCATCATTAGTGGAAGTTAGCTGGAGGGACGGCAGCCATCATTAGTGGAAGTTAGCTGGAAGGCGGTAGCCATCATTAGTGGAAGTTAGCTGTGGACGGTAGCCATCATTAGTGGAAGTTAGCTGGGGCGGTACATCATTAGTGGAAGTTAGCTGTGGAGCCATATAGTGGAAGTAGCGGACGGTAGCCATCATTAGTGGAGAAGCTGTGAACGGTAGCCATCATTAGTGGAAGTTAGCTGTAGGGACCGGTATCATTAGTGGAAGTTGGCTGTGAGGCAGTGTCATCATTAGTGGATTAGCTGAGACGGTGGTCATCATTAGTGGAAGTTGGCTGTGGTGTTGTCATTAGTGGAAGTTGGCTGTAGGACGGTAGCCATTAGTGAAGTTAGCTGTAGGACGGTAATATCATTAGTGGAAGTAGCTGTGGGGGGCCATCATTAGTGGAATTAGCTGTAGGGCGTGGCCATATTGAAATAGCTAGGGGCCACATAGTGAAAGCGGCGGCATCATAGGAGACCCAAAAATTACTGTAGCCATCATTGGAAGGCGGTAGCCATCATTAGTGAAGTTAGCTGTAGGACGCAGCATCATTAGTGGAAGTAGCTGTAGGCCGGTGCCATCATTAGTGGAAGTTAGCTGTAGGGCGGTGCCATCATTAGTGGAAGTTAGCTGAGGGAGACGGTAGCCATCTAGTGAAGTTAGCTGACGATCATTAGTGGAAGTTAGCTGCAGGTGTATGCATCATTAGTGAAGTTAGCTGTAGGGACAGTAGCCATCATTAGTGGAAGTTAGCTGTAGGAACGGTAGCCATCATTAGTGGAAGTTAGCTAGGACGATCATAGTGAAGTAGCTAGGGGTAGCATCATTAGTGGAAGTTAGCTGCAAGACGGTGCCATCACTAGTGGAAGTTAGCTGTAGGACATTAGCCATCATTAGTGGAAGTTAGCTGTGGGGAGCCACAAACAACGGCGGTAGTCATCATTAGTGGAAGTTAGCTGTAGGGCGGTATGCATCATTAGTGGAAGTTAGCTGTGGGTGGTAGTCACAGACCATCATTAGTGGAAGTTAGCTGTGAGGGTGGCCATCATTAGTGGAGATAGCTGTGGCAGTATCATTAGTGGAAGTTAGCTGTAGAATGGTGGCCATCATTAGTGGAAGTTAGCTGTAGGACGGTAGCCATCATTAGTGGAAGATAGGATGGTAGCCATCATTAGTGAGACGTAGCCATCATTAGTGGAAGTTAGCTGTAGGGATAGCATCATTAGTGGAAATTAGCTGTAGGCGTCATCATTAGTGGAAGTTAGCTGTAGGGTGAGCCATCATTAGTGGAAGTTAGCTGTAGGACAGTAGCCATCATTAGTGGAAGTTAGCTGTAGGGACGGTAGCCATCATTAGTGGAAGTTAGCTGTAGGGGACGGTAGCCATCACTAGTGGAAGTTAGCTGTAGGACGGTAGCCATCATTAGTGGAAGTTAGCTGTAGGGACGGTAGTCATCATTAGTGGAAGTTAGCTGTAGGCACGGTAGCCATCATTAGTGGAAGTTAGCTGTAGGGACGCAGAGCCATCATTAGTGGAAGTTAGCTGTAGGACGGTAGCCATCATTAGTGGAAGTTAGCTGTGGGGACGTAGCCATCATTAGTGGAAGTTAGCTGTAGGGACGGTAGCCATCATTAGTGGAAGTTAGCTGTAGGGACGTGAGCCATCATTAGTGGAAGTTAGCTGTAGGGACGGTAGCCATCATTAGTGGAAGTTAGCTAGGACGGAACATCATTAGTGGAAGTTAGCTGTAGGGACGGTAGCCATCATTAGTGGAAGTTAGCTGTAGGGACGGTAGCCATCATTAGTGGAAGTTAGCTGTAGGGACGGTAGCCATCATTAGTGGAAGTTAGCTGTAGGGACGGTAGCCATCATTAGGAAGTTAGCTGTAGGGACGGTAGCCATCATTAGTGGAAGTTAGCTGTAGGGACCAGCCATCATTAGTGGAAGTTAGCTGTAGGACGGTACCATCATTAGTGGAAGTTAGCTGTAGGGACGGTAGCCATCATTAGTGGAAGTTAGCTGTAGGACTGCAGCCATCATTAGTGGAAGTTAGCAGTAGGGACGGTAACATCATTAGTGGAAGTAGCTGTAGGGACGGTAGCCATCATTAGGAAGTTAGCTGTAGGACGGTAGCCATCATTAGTGGAAGCGGCTGTAGGACGGTAGCCATCATTAGTGGAAGAAGGTAGGACGGTAGCCATCATAGTGGAAGAATGAGGACGGATACCTCATTAGTGGAAGTTAGCTGTAGGACGGTAGCCATCATTAGTGGAAGTTAGCTGTAGGGACGGTAGCCATCATTAGTGGAAGTTAGCTGTAGGGATTGCAGCCATCATTAGTGGAAGAATTGTAGGGACGGTAGCCATCATTAGTGGAAGTTAGCTGTAGGACGGTAGCCATCATTAGTGGAAGAAGCTGTAGGACGGAGCCATCATTAGTGAAGTTAGCTGTAGGACTGTAGCCATCATTAGTGGAAGTTAGCTGTAGACGGGTAGCCATCAGTGGAAGTTAGCTAGGACGGTGGCCATCATTAGTGGAAGCAGCTGTAGGACGGTGGCCATCATTAGTGGAAGTTAGCTGTAGGGACGGGCCATCATTAGTGGAAGTTAGGTAGGGACGGTGGCCATCATTAGTGGAAGTTAGCTGTAGGGTCGGTAGCCATCATTAGTGGAAGTTAGCTGTAGGACGGTGGCCATCATTAGTGGAAGTTAGCTGTAGGGATGGTAGCCATCATTAGTGGAAGCAGCTGTAGGGACGGTGCCATCATTAGTGAAGAATAGGACGGTAGCCATCATTAGTGGAAGTTACTGTAGGGACGGCCATCATTAGCGAAGTTAGCTGTAGGGACGGTAATCATTAGTGGTTAGCTGTAGGACGGTAGCCATCATTAGTGGAAGTAGCTGTAGGACGGTGGCCATCATTAGTGGAAGTTAGCTGTAGGGACGGTAGCCATCATTAGTGGAAGTTAGCTGTAGGGACGGTGGCCATCATTAGTGGAAGTTAGCTGTAGGGACGGTGGCCATCATTAGTGGAAGTTAGCTGTAGGGACGGTAGCCATCATTAGTGGAAGTTAGCTGTAGGGACGGTGGCCATCATTAGTGGAAGTTAGCTGTAGGGACGGTGGCCATCACTTGTAGAAAGTTTCATGTTTTTCTATCCATTTTGTGCTTGTGTGGGAGATGGGAGTAAAGAAGAGTAAAAGAGGCCCTCTATTAACTTATGTGGTACTGTAGTGTGTCTTGTTCTTGTGATTCAGTATTGTGTAGCAGGGCCTTATAGCGCCCAGGGCAATGGCTGAATTTAGCGCTCCCCTTTACGGCTCCCCACACCTCTAACCCTCCACTCCCTACAACCTCGCTTCCACTGCAAATAATGATATCAAATAAATTTAATTCATATAAATAATGTAGCATAATAGTAAATAAGGGATTGCTAAGACACTAATGATGATGTATAATTTATGGTTGTATCGAGGCTTGAACAAATTAATTTCAAGAAATGTAATAATTGTATGTAAGTAATCAGCAATTTGCTGCTCAAAACACACATAGTCTACATTCAGTTAAGAAAATACCATAACCCAGTGGATTGCTTAACTTTTCCTTATAAAATTCTTTTACTCTCCAAGTAAACAGATTCAATAATAATCTTGGGACAATTCTGATGACAGATTGACCAGATTTTACTCTTAATCCTAAAAATTTATTTATCCAATATTAATTATCATAATACAATGCACAGTATATCAAGATTCATAAAAAGCAACTAACTAAAAATGCAGCAATTAGAAAATTAAGAGTATAATGGTGTTTTAATTAAATCAGCACATATGAGGCACCAACACGGAGAACTAAGAATGCCTTTTAACAATGACTCTGGATCACCATTTATTACAGAATCACTTTTCTTGCTTCTTGGTTGCAAAGTCATCAATTACACTGTCAAAATTCATAGAATTTGCTATCTTCTGTTCAATTGATACAATAGCTATGTTAGATAAACGTTCTTGGGCCATAGATGAACACAACGGCACCGCTCGGCAGCAAGCAGTCACGTGGGGCGCCAGTCACCACCAAAACAATGTTATATTGACACTTGAAAAGTGTTAATAATAAACATATTTAATACCCGGTATTTATAAATTAGAGAGTATGAATTAACCTATCCAGTGTAGCAGTAGTACAGTACAGGCTGTTCTGCTAGAGTAATCTTTTTGTTTTGTTATCTTCCTTTGAATTTTTTTGTTTTAAATTCATAGGCAATTTGGCGCCCCCCTTACCTTGGGGTCCAGGGAGGCTGCCCCTTCTGCCACCCACTAGGTACGCCCCTGTTGTGTAGCAAGAAGCAAATAATTTTGTCAGAAACATTAAAGAGATTTGATTTTTTATATATAATTTAATCTTTCATCAATACAGTGTTTTAAATTGTACATTGTAATCTGAATCTAGAATTTACAGTAGATAGCAACTTCTATCTGTCTATATGTCTGTCTATCTGTGTATCTATCTATCTTTCTATCTATCTATCTATCTGTTTATTTATCTGTCTAGCCATCTATCTATCTAGCCATCTATCTATCAGTCTTAACTACAGGTATATATAATCTTATTTCCCTCTCCTGTCTGGGGTGGATCAAAATACTATACAGAAACTTGTTGTGTGTAATTTCAGTTAAGCTTTGCCATAAGAAGAAATGGGCTACATAGACTGGAGGAACTAAGACTTGGTTTGCAGCATGATCTGAATTGCGACATAATAATGGACGTGCTGCGAACTACTAACGATCTCAGAATTCTGGGTCGGACTGACTGGTGGACGTCCATGGAAGAAGATTCAAAAGTCTTCACCATCACGCTCTTGAAATTGAGGTAAGGCGGGCGGTCTGTTTTATGTCGATTCATTGGTTCATTTCAGATTTGTTTTTTCTCTCTGTGAGGGATTATTTTGACCTCAGCAATATCTCAGGAGTCAGTCCTCTCAGTGTTGTTTACTCCACATTGCCTGACTACAGCTATACTCAGTAACTCTCTGTGTTATCTACTATGTCTGTACATTGTTTGTTTGGCATTGATCAGTGGCAGATTAAGGGAAGCTTCCTCCTTTGATACAGAAAAGAACTAAATTTACTCCTCCTTACTTTAAACAAAGAAGTTCACAAACAAATCAGCCTTAATTTTTTTTCTGTTTTTACATGAAAATATTGTCATTGAAAGTTGCATCAAGTGTATGTGTATGTGTGTGTATGTGTGTGTGTGTGTGTATGTGTGTATATGTGTGTGTAAAGAGGCAGCAGCTGGGTGACGAGCTCACATTTGTTTACAGGGATTAATAACAAGTGATGGTAGAGTCCATATTTCTCTTGACTCAGACCAGACTTGTATTATGCTGTACTGTAGTTAGAAATGTTTGGAAGACTAGAAAAACACCTGCTTTGGATCCCAGTACACTAAGAAGGGTCCCAAGTGGAGGGTTGTGTTCGACTTGACTGAGGTAAAGCAGTCTTTTACTGATGCTTCAATATGCAGTTCACAGTTGTATGCCCCTGGACCTTAAGGTTTAGTGTATGCAGGTAATGGTAAACATCTAATTGATGTAAACCATACCTTGAAAACTGCATCCTTATGTTGCACTTTTTGTTTTCCAGATTTAGGAACCTTGTGGTGTTTGGACTAGATTATTGTGGTGAAGTGGACAATGACCCACGACCTCCAAAGAATAATTCCAATAATGTTGTGTGGTAACTGATCGAATACTGTCGCTGGCTGACAAGTGTATAATGGTGTAAGTGCAATGCTTGCTCACACTTTCATATTGGTTTTATAAATTTTTCATAGTTGCCTGTAGAGGAGATATTATAAGGCTTCATCCATCTTCATAAGAAATGTAAAGTGAATTAGTGTTTGTGTTTTATGCATTTTTTTTTATTTATACTGCAGTAAATCAGCTTGCTGCTCGGAGGCAAGCAGTCAACATGGAGTCATCCCATAAAATAAGTTTTTCCTCATTTGCTGAATTGTCCATCAAAACAAAGAAAAAGTAATAAAAAGCTTTTTTGATAAAACAATTTTTGATGAGAACCTTAGAAAGTCTCAGTTATGATTAGAGTTGCTGAGTCATCTTAAGTAGATGTAGAACACAATGCATTTTTAAATTACCAGTAGCTGCAAGATACATCATGTACTGTATGTTGAATGTGATTTTATTATAATCTACTGATGCTGTGAAATTATGGCCTCTGCTTGACACAGATATCCAATTATTGTGACTTACTGTTATACTGTACTGTACGTGGTGAAGGGCCGCAGCAGTAGGCTGGTCGGTGTCCTCGGTGTCCGTCTTGCTGATGATGTACGTCAGCTGCATAATACCTGTATAAGGATAGCAGGAGCTGCAATACAGCATTTCACACTTTGAATACATCATCACTATCAACACCCTAGAACTGCTCTTTCTTGAAGGGTTGAAAGGTCAGGTCACAACTTTGAAAAAGTACCGCCTGCCATGAGTTGGCACCTCACTCAAGTGCAGAATAGTTCTTGATGTATCCAAGACAATGAAATACAGTAATGGCTCTTGCATGCTTGTGACACTCAAGCACTGATACAGCTTATGTAACTCACAAGTCCTCAGAGGGAGTCTTAACAAAATCATCACATTCAATAGATATGTTTACTTAATTAAATCTAGTTTAATGTCAAAGATTGCTGTTGTATTTATTTACATGTCAAGCGAGGGGACACCCATGGGAGGTGTGGCAGCATATGTGTGCTCTCTCCCAGAGTTATACAATATGTTAAAAAAACAGTGTGATGATCAATTGTAGATAGCATCTTAAACTATTGTTATCTTGTGATGTTAGTTGAAACATCATACTTTTGCATTTAATGACAAAGTCTACCTACATTGTGTGTTCATACATGTATGCACTATTTTTTCTTTTTGTTATTTTTCTTGAATATTGTACAAGCTTTTTCTTGCTATGATACAGGTTAGCTAGACAGGTGCTGACTTCCTGGCTCATAGCATTTAGCAGCTAGTGAGTCTCCTCAGCCCCTTAGTGTGATGGTAGTCCACCAAAAAGACTTAGTGCATCGGGTCTAGTTTACAGGAAAGGAACCATATTATTTGCACAGTTACACAAGGTAAAGCACTTATTTTACATCATTTATATACAGACTTCCTTCTTACAGATGAATACAAGGATGACAAGATGTCCCTAAACTGTAGGGCAGTGTTGAACTACCCACTTGTGACTTGTTCCTTAAAGGGATCTACACCATTGTAACAATGTGGGTAATGTGTTGGCAACTTTATTTTTAAATTACTCGCAATATTTGCAACATTAGTGTTAGGAACAGTGTTTCCAACAGAAACATGTTGATGACAGTATTACCAACATTGTTGCTTTGGTTTAGATCCACCTTAACAGAAAAGTGTGTCAGGTTGGTTACTCTAAAACACACACACACACACACAGACACATACACACGGACACATACACACTCACACACACACACACACACACACACACACACACACACACACACACACACACACACACACATACACACACGGACACATACACACTCACACACACACACACACGGACACACACACGACACACACACACCACGGACACATACACACGACACACACACACTCACACACACACACACACACACGGACACACACACGGACACACACACACACACACGGACACACACACGACACATACACACGCACACACACACACATGAACACACACACACACACACACACGGACACACACACGGACACACACACACACATGGACACACACACACACACACACACACACACGGACACACACACACACACATGGACACACACATGCACACACACATGGACACACACACACACACACACACACACACACACACGGACACACACACACGACACACACACACACACACACACGGACACACACACGACACACACACACACACACACGGACACACACACACACACACGGACACACACACACACACATGGACACACACACACACACACACACGGACACACACACGGACACACACACACACACATGGACACACACATGCACACACACACACACACACACATGCACACACACACACACACACACACACACACACGGACACACATGGACACACACACACACGCACACACACACACACAGTCATCATTGTCACTGTTTTACAGCCATTTTCCACACATGCTCTAGTTAGCCAGATCACCGGGTGACATGTTGTCCTGGCTGCCCTCGGGCAAACTGGAAGCAAGTTTTATGGCTGGATGTCCTTTCTATCACCAACCCACTTTTACAGTGGCAATTGGGCATTATGTGTAGGGTTTCCAAGCACCCCCTTAGCTAGCAAGGCAGTGTCGCTAATTGATAAAATATATCACTGGAATAATTCTGGTTCTGCTTGAAGTCTGGACCTTACAAGCCAGTTTGCACGTGTGTGTGTTTGTATGTACAGTATGTGTGTCAGTGTTTGCTCACTGCGATGGTTAATTTCACGTGGGAAGGTTGTCTTGCAGTAACAACCTTGTGGGTGAGTCTTCATAAGAAAGAAAGTTCTTGACAGAATTTATTGAACTTTGTAAAGAAAATTTACGCTTATGGAAAATTAAGAGTAAAGAACACCGCACTCTGAGAAAAACATTAATCAGCGGCGTCTGACCTTCTGGTGGTAAAAATTAAGTAAAATGATGCCACAATAAACAGAGAGACAGTTAACTTAAAGTAAATTTTATAATATTTTTTTTTTGTAAAAATATTCATGTTGGTGGTGACAGTTTTTCATGAGGGGTTATTGTTCTTTTCATGCATGTACTGTATCTTGTTTTTTTGTCACTGGAGTAACCAGTGACACAAACTGAAGATATGGAACTACAGTACAGATACAGTATATCCATCCACAGAGAGTCACACCAGTCTTCCAGCTCTAGTCGTAGCTCACTCATGAGGGCAGAACTGTATGTGTAAATTGATCTCTGCTGAGAAGTAAATTCTTTATCCATTTGTTTCATAATATCTCTTTCCTAAACAAAGGCACAACACACAGCCCAACAGATTGAGTTCATCGTCACTGAGTGGAGATGCAATGTCTTGTTCCTGATGAATCCACAATGGTTCTGTACTGAGCCAGAAAATCAGCCAGACTGAACAGTGTGTATGAAAGTTCAATTTATGCAAACTGGAATTCCACAGTCTGACTTACAGGTCAAACCGAGCGTGTGCGGGGCTAACGTGTCTACTAGTACTTGTTGCACTCTTCAGAATTATGTGTTCAATGCGTCACAAACTTTGGTTCATAAACCAGATGTTCTGTAATTTTGTGATTGAGAAAAAATATATTTTTGGCCTCAGTTTACTTCAGATACAATACAATATTGTAAAAAAAATAGGACGGGATTACAGAATATTGAAAAGGGCCTAAAAGGTGTTTATTATGATACAGTATTATGGAATTATCACAAGCAAAACTGTTGTGATGCTCAAGGAGAGTTTCTTTGCTTTATTTCAAAGATTACCTGCCATAAAATATTAATTTGGTTTATTTTCAACACTTTTATTCATATTACTGTATTTAGAAGGTAATATATAATATAATTTCTTGAGTAATAATGATTCACAAATACTGTACAGTACTGTAGTTTTAAAAGCTACAAATACATTAGTACTTCTGATGGAGCTGGAGCTGAACCTCTGAAAGTTTCATGCAGTCAAATTTTTATTTACAAAACTGTACTGTTTATATTAGTGGTCACCACTGCACACAGATGTGAATCCAAGTAGAAAATTTGCTGTAAGCAGAATTTGACTTGTTATCCTGGTGTTGTTTATGTTTGTATTGATCCATTGTATTATACAGTGGCTGAGATGTTCTTTATATCTACAGTACTCTGTAGATTCAGGAAGCCTTCTGATGTTTGTAAAGAATTCTGCATAAGTAGCATTTGTTTATTGGAGGAGCAACAGAGAGGTGTACAGTACAGTATGTTGACAGATCACTTGATGTACCGTACTGACTTACTTTACAGACTGTGGCAGTAACTTTCCTCAGGTGGGACCATTTGATAAAATATTAAGGGAAAAGATTACAGTGAATGCTTAGTTCAGATTGAAAACAGTGGTTGTACACGTTAGTCGTGTGAGAGGATCCTGGGAACACTCAGCCAAGATTAAAACTGATTGTACAGGTCAGGTCAGTGCCAGTTGTTTTGTTATGTTATGCCAAGTTTTATATAATGTTCACCTTTCTTACAGGATTAAAAGATCATCTGCAATTAACCCCCCAGCTTTGCTTCACCTTAAGATTAAACGCCTTAGTTTAAAGCTAATGTAACCCAACCCCCCCCAAGTAGTGATGTTTAATCATCAGTTGAAATAAGCTGTGGGCTAATCTTCGGGTGATCCCGGCATCATCTTATAGAACATGCGAGTGGGTGACCATCTCCACAGCTCACCTGTCACAGACTGTCGCCTCATTGTGTCAAGGTAACGGGCGAACTCAGTGTCAACATTTATGAGGGGAAGAAGCATTTAGATATAGCATTAAAGGTAACCAAAAATGAACAATAGCAAAGTTGGAAGGAAAATTTAGCATTTGATTATGTAGTGGCAGACCAACCAGTGGTGCTATAGTGTCCACTTGGCCAGAGAAAAGATCCATTATCAGCTGAAGTGTAACTCTCTGTTTCCTTCATAGTAGGACTTTACATCTATAGAAGCACATCTGTAATCGCACATTCATAGTTACCACATCTATAGAAGCACCTCTGTATTACTACTCTATATTACACATGCAAAAGACTGTCATTGTCCTTACCAAAGACTCAGATCTACTTCTACTTTTTTGTGCAACTTTCTAATGAGTAGATATGAATATTGAGTTTAAATAAATAAAATTGTGTTAAAAATGGTCTATTTGTATATTTATTTGTTTGATGGTAAGAATTTCTACTTTTATCATGCAGTTATGTGATTTACATCATGTTAAAACAGTATTTTAATCAACTCTCTTCAACTCTTCCATTTGTATGAGAGACCACACTCAAGGTGAAACAAATTCACTTGGAAGGCAGGGTGAAGCTTGTAGTCATTCTTTACAGTCTTCAGTCATTGCCTTTATGTGTATCCAACAGAAAACAAGGGTGACCAAGACTTGTTAGAAAAAAGGGACCTTTCCTGTCTGTCAGTCAGTCAGGAAAACCATTCATATGCCCTGTGGTTGACTAATGCAGCTGAGGATAAGTAAAACAGCATAACTGTATTTCTGGTTAATGTTGAATGTGGAGTGATTCTCTTCTGTGCTCAAAGGTGCTTAAACAAGGAAGCTTTAGTTAAGAGTGCACAGTGAAGAGTTCTATGCATTACGTGTTCACCATAATAAAAGCATTTTCAGGCAGCCTTTAATGTAAATATTTGTATTATCCATATCCAACACAAATCAAAAAAATATATAGGCTTTATGAGATATTCCAATTTGATAATTAAATTCGACTACAGAAGCAGAAATAGGTGATTTATATGAGTACAATATTGCATTTTAAGCTTTACAGCGAGCTAAATTGTTGGTTCTTTTGGGGTTGATGTACAGTAGTATTTGATTTTAGGTGATGCAAAATTAACTGCAGTACAGTACTGTGGAATGTGTCATTAAAAGAATTGAGTGACAGTTTAAGTGGATGTTATTGTGTTTTTAGGGAAATACCAAGTAAAGTGAGAACAATTGTTGTGATTATGTTGAATACTCAGAGCTATCATGATTACCTATATGTTTTGTCCCCCCCACCATACGAGTAGATTTGGTGGGGCATGTAGGTTAACCCCTTTTTGTTAGTGTGTCTGTACAAATTATCAATAATTTTCATTTTTAATTTAAGAAAAGATCTGAGAATTTAAAAGTGATTTGGTTTAAAGTTTCACTTGATAATTTTTACTATTTTTTACGAGTACAGTACTGTACTGTATACAACCATTGTTTCTGTGGCGGGAGCAAACATCCCCATTATTTTCTTATTTTATCTTGTGTTCTTTTGTTCTGTACTAAACTTGGTAAAAACTTATACTGTATGTGTACAAGTTTAATTTATTTGTGTGTTTTTCTGATGATTCCTCAGCCAAAAGTTCCAAATATCCACCTTCACATTTGGACACTACATATAGATGCCTCATGCTTTACTCAGTACAGCTCGTGAGTTGTACTAAAATAATACAATTGTGGTTGAGTCGTCTCTGATACTCATGTTTATGGTCTTCAACTCTGCTCCTTTACAGTTTTTGTGGAGAAATGTTACCTTGTACAAGAAACAGTGAGTGTAAAAGCTGATGTATGTACAACTATGAATTTGTTTTGATTAATTTTTGTGATAATACAATTCAGTCACTGAAAGTAAATGTAACTTTTTTATTATAAATATGGATATCTGAACAAATGTAGTGCTTATTGCCCTTACTGTGTTGACCTTTTGAGAGTGACTGATTCCTAACTACTGTACAGTGTCTCAGAAAAAACACAGCCTTACAGATTTTTGTAGATATCATGACTGTGAATGCTTGTATTATAATAGCAATAATGTCCTCACTTGTGGGAGACCTTGTACATCAACAAGTGAGGACTTTTTCAATAAACTGTTAATTATTATTATTATTATTATTATTATTATTATTTTACAATATTGCCATTGTAATGCAAGCATTCACGTGATCTACAAAAATCTGCAAGGCTCTGTGTACATATTTTTCTGAGACACTAAGTTTTTTTTTTCATTATTATTCTCTTTGCCACTTGTCAGCTCACTACAGTACAGTAGTTTGTTCATAAAACTTTATTCATCAAATCTAGTGTTCGTACAAGAGGAAACTGAAGTACTGTACCCCTCCCCCTTATACCAAGAGAACACCTGTGATGTTTGGTTGGGTCACACCAACCAACACCCTTCTCACATCTAAATCAGACAAGGAGCGAATCTCAATCTCAATGGTGAGAAACAAATGCACTACCACTGTACAGCTGGAAATCTATTTAGTGTTTTAAATATTTTCTCTCTCCCTTCCATCTTTATATGAGGTGGATCAAGGGGCACAGAAACCACTTAGAAGGGGGAAGTTAATAGGGGGAGGTAAAGTTTTTAAATTGAGTTCTTGAATATTTATCATCAAAAATTAACAAGGAACAGATTGACTGCCCTAATGGTTAATAAAGTGATGGGTAGTGGAAATGATGAAACAAAGAGAGACAATTTTCTATTCCAACATGTTGAAGATCCGACTCTTTATAGAGGGGAACAAACACCAAAACCACTGGACCTCATCTGAACTAACAAGGAGGGTCTGGTAGCATAGTTGGAATATCTAGCCCCCATAGGCACCAGCTCTTCAGATTTAGCTGTTACTTGGTACATGATTAAAGCAGGCCAGGGTTCAAATATTGCAGTGGCATTAACAACAGGATGAGGGAGAAAATAAGGGATATTCACTAGTCTGACTCACTGAGAAACATGAATGCAGATGCTACCCTGAATATCATAGACAGTAAAGTAACAAGTAGAAATATCCTCACACAGTCAGTCGTAGTCTCATCTTGTACACACATTATGTAACATCACAAGACTAAAGTAGTGAAGTAACTACTGTATACAGTGCAGTATTTAGGTATTGGAATGTATGTAGCAGTTATTAAGATCAACTTTTAGTTTTATTGGACAGTGTGAGATGCTACTACAGTGTTTACTTTTACTTCTTGAGTAGACTTTGGACTAGATACTTTTTAACTCTAATATAGATACAGTTTAGGAATGCAGTAGCACTTTTACTTTAACTTTAGTATATTTTGTCAGATTACTTGTACTGTGCTTCAACTTGTTACACCTCTGTACAAAATGATTTTTTAGCAACCATATTGATTCATAAGTACAGAACATACTACACAGTGGACTAGGGTGAAAAACAGGTTTCTTCATGTTACCACCACTCACGTATGATACCACAACACTGTTCACTCAGCACCCACAGGCCATCTTAGTGCTCTGTTTAAATAGACATCTGTGGACCTAAAAAATTCACCTATGTAGTCAGTCCATTTCTTTCAAGGTCATCTTTATGTATCATTTTGCTTACCAGCCATTTGGGCAGTTGGTCTTTTCTTGGTTACATTACCTTGGTATGACCTTCATTGAGTAGTATTATCACAGAAGGAAACTGGAATACCTGGATAAAACTTGTGATGTATGGCAACTTAACTTTGGATAACATCCTTTTCACATATGTCTCAGGACAGGGATGGTGAGACACACACACACACTCATTGTCTGTGTATGCTATCATCCCCCCCGCGCACCAACCGCCAATGTACTGATTACTCATATTATAGACACTGCTGACTCCCTGAGATCCAGATTTCCATGTGCTAAACTAGTGATATGCAGTGACTTCAATGAGTTAGACATCAGTGACATCACCCAACACCTCCACCTTACACAAATAGTAGACTTTCCCATACATGGCAATGCCACCCTTGACCTCATTATGACTGATCTCGGTAACCACTCCCTTCACCCCCAGCCGCTGCCTCCCATGGGACGCAGCCCACACCTGTCCCTGCTGTGGTCACCTACCCCCACCTTCTCACCACCGCCAGTTGCCACCAGAACCTACCGACCCACCCCTGACTCTGTTGTGGGGCGTTTTGGACAATGGATAACCCGGTATCCCTGGACTGAAGTGATCACGGTAGACGATGTGCAGAACAAATGGGATAATTACCTGGACACTATCACCAGAGCCTACCACCACTTCTTTCCAGCCAAAACACTGAGGAGCCACCCCGATGATGTCCCGTGGATTACGCCCCGCATAAAAAGACTTATTGAGCAGCGCAACAAGGCATACTACACCAACAACCGCCTGTACAAAAGTCTACATAACCAGGTCATCAAGGAAATCAAGTCTGCCAAGAAGACTTATTATCCCAGGAAAGTGCACGGCCTCAAGGAAGTCGGCATCGGTCAGTAGTACTCCAAGGTAAAAGATCTCTGTGGTCTCAACCGTCAGTCTCCCACACTTCCTTTCATCTCACATTTACCTAGTGAGGAGGCAGCTGAGATAATTAATAACCATTTTGCTACCATATGTCATACCTTACCCAGTCTTGACCTCACTCTCCTCCCAGCTTACTTACCTTCCCCCTCCCCCCTCCCAGTGTCCAACCATTTGAAATCGCCAACAAACTCCTGAAATTTAAATCCAAACGCTCCACGACCCCAATTGACCTCCCAATCAAAATATACAAGGAGTTTGCAATCGAACTTGCCACCCCCCTCTGTTCTATTATTAATGCATCCCTCAGACAAAGCAAATGCCCTAATGAATGGAAAACCGCATTTGTCACCCCCATCCCCAAGGTCACCACCCCACAGTCCCCTAACGACCTCAGACCAGTTGCCATAACCCCCATACCCAGTCTACTTTGTGAGGACTTTGTTTTTGAGTGGGCATTTGCCAGTATCTATCAGTCAATTGATTCACAGCAATTTGGCAATATGAGGACCTCCTCTACATCACACTGCTTGGTGAGCTTTCTGGATTTTCTGCACAAAAACTTGCAGAAACGAAAGACATCACTGGCCATTGCCCTTGTGGACTTCAGGAAGGCCTTTGACCTTGTTGATCACTGCACTGTTATCAACAAGGCTATTGCACTAGGGCTGCCCACCAACCTGGTCTCATGGCTCACTGATTTCTTGAGTGGACGTCGCCAAGCAGTGAGGTATCAGGGCTTGGTCTCTACATTCCAACACCTAACCTGCGGTGTTCCCCAGGGGACCAAGATGGGACCACTGTGCTTCCTCTTCCTGATCAACGACGCTCTATCGGACACTCCTCACAGGTGGAAGTACGTGGATGACTGCACTGTGGGGGTTTCGGTGGACAACACCGCACCAGACTACTCATCGCTCCAAGGCACCCTGGACAGGCTACAGGCATGGACTACGGAGAACAAAGTCACCATCAACCACACCAAAACCGTAGTCATGCACATCAATACCGCCACCACTCCAATGCAAGCCCCAGTAGTCACAGTGGGTGCCCATCCTCTCCAGCTGGTGCAGTCTGCCAAACTCCTGGGTGTAACTATAGACAACAAACTTGACTGGAAGGCCCATGTAAATAACACAGTCAAGGCAGCCTCGTACCGTCTCTACATGCTACGAAGACTTAGGTCACTTGGGACACCCACGCCAGAGCTGAGGACCATCTACAACGCCTTTATTCTCCCCAAACTAACGTATGCGTCACCAGCCTGGTCGTCTTCTCTCAACTCCACCCAACAACGTCAGCTAGAGAAGGTACAGAAAAGGGCCTGCAGAATCATGCTCGGCGCAGAATACTCCGGCTACACCAACGCTCTCTCCACCCTGGAAATGCCATCCCTCAGTGACCTCCACCACCAAGCACTGGAAAGGTTTGGCCGTGGACTACTGCACCACCCTCGCCATCGCCACCTCCTGCCACCTGCAGCCCCCCACCCAACTCGGGCAGTCCGCCACTACAACAAAATTCAGCCCATAAGAGCCCTCACCGATAGATATAAGAACAGCACCATCCCATCTATTGTTAAAATAATAAACAACTCCTGATTTATGTACTGTACAGCCCTGTAAATGTATTCAATGCATATTACAGTATATCATTATGTCTAAATCAAATGTAAGTCTGTATATTTTCAGCCACCGGCTGCAACTCTATTAATAAACCGTTTATTATTATTATTATTATTATTATTTACTGCTGTACCACTAACACCCTAATTCATTACACACAGTTATGTGGTCTATCATTTTACTTCATAAACTCCATCTGTGTCACTGAAGAGCCAAGTTTTTTACCTATATTTGCCAGAGAAATACGGTACAATATTTAACAATAATAATACAGTACAGTATGTTCTGTAATAATATTTATTCAGTAAAATCATTAAACAAGTTTACAATTAGTTTGGCATGTACAGACAGGGAAGCACCTCACTGTTGAAGAGTTACAAGAGACTGACCATTTAGATATCTGAACGACCTTCTTATAAGACCTACAGTACTAGTTTAGTTGTGTGATTTATCTTCTTTTTACAATGGTCTGAGAACTTCAATTCTTCATCAACATACAGACCCAGGTCCTTTTCACATTTGGTTTCTGTTAATGCTGTTTCTTCGTCTCATTCGGACATACTGTACTATGTTATGCCTTATTAGTTATTACTGCTGGTGTGACCCAGGTGCATCCTCTTATACTTTGTGACATTGAATCTTAGCAACCATATCTTCGACCACTCTTGAAGCTGACAGATCTTTCTGCAGCTCTTCACAGTCTGTTTAGTTCTTAATCTAACGGAATAGCTTGGCATCATCTGCAAACATATGTATGGAGGATTGTACACCTT